ACTGTTGATGAACTACGAAGCATTATCGCGCAATAATTCTATTAGAGCTGACTGCTGTCATCAACAAGTTATCATATCAGCCACTGCATACATACGTATACACTTATTGCCCCGTATATGTCATCTAATCTGTCACTATCCGAATATATCCAAATCTATATCTCAGTCTTTATCCATGTGCGTCATCCACCTTTGCATCCTGTTATACATTCACACATCTTGCACATTTTTAGTACTCACATGCTGCTTCTGTTGTTGCTGTTAAGAAGTTGTGATGTTCAACTGAAAATTTCACTAATATCTGAAATTTAGCCAGAAATTTTAATGAGCAGGTGATCAAGTGAATATTTCAGCAGTTATATGAGTAAGTTGTCATAAAAATGAAGTGTACTACTGAGGTACTATTAACAACGTAATAACAATAAACATTATTAATTTAACGTATTCAATTATTGAGTTTCTCAGCCAGTGACTTAGCTATGTGCTTTGATCGTTGCTTCTTCAACAGAAACATGAGTGTGGGCATAGTGAGTGTTGTAGCAATAAATTGACATGAATAGTTTACGTTTGGAATTAATGACTGAAAATAGACCACACCAAATATCGTTGCTTTTGCAATGCTTAACCATAGATGGTGAATGGATGACGGTTAAGATACAAAATATTTTCTTGACATTGGGTAAGCCTTTTTGCTGCAATTCTTTATTCTTCAATCAAACATATGTTTATTTATTGCTAGAATATAGCCACCTAGAAGTAGCATCGAATATCGGAAACGTTATAACATAATATCAGTTTTATTGTTCTTCTTCTTTCGTTTCGGATTCATTCGGTCTTCTTCATTACATTTGTTTAATTAATTCGTACATTTATTTGTCAACTCTAAAGCGGTGACATGAGAGGCAGATTTTGAAGATGATTATTGTTGTTGTTACACTGTAACCAGATATTAAATGGTAAATGGCATATGGAATGGAACGCGGAAGTTAGACTACGTATTATTTATGTTGTCCGTTTCTGATTTGTTAACGCAGGCTTTATGGATATCGAATTCAAGATTGTTTTCCACGGTTTTGTACGTACGCGAACATGAATTTAATTTAATTCAACTAAACACTTTCATTCGTCGCTCATTAAAAGGATTCAATTTATTTCTTATTTTTCCGCCATTCTTCATCGTTTCATCGTCAAATTTCCTTCCTTTCATCACTCCGAATACCAAGCCATCTAGCCGGCTAATATACCATTGTTATTAAATATCAAATCTCGTCGTCAATTCAGTCTAGTCCCTTTTAAAATATCAAATATAAGAATACCATATGTATATATAGCAATCCTATCAGATCTCGCTACTTATCATACAATATCAACCGCAAATCTGACTGTGTTTTATTTTATTCTTGTATGTCGTATCGCACGTATTGACTATTTTATCAAATCATATCAACTCAAATCATATCATATCGTATCATATAATATCATACCGTATCATATAATAGCATATCAAATCATATCTAATCATATCGTATCATATCATATCATATAATATCATATCGTATCATATCAAATCATATCATATCAAATTATATCATATTGTATCGTATCATATCATATTGTAGGATATCAAATATCATATTATATCCTTTCATATCCTATCGTATCATAATTAACTGTGCATTCAATATCAAATATTTGTTCACTACTCCAAGCAGCCTACGATTCTGGACCATGTGCATGATCACTATCAATGATGTGACACCGTTCTGTGCTTTCTCAACTTTATCTGACGATAGCGTGAATCGTATCATTCGTTTTATTTTAATGCGGCACAACAGAAATGATAGTTTGTAATTATTTTAAGAGAGAGTACTGGTGCTGGTACATATTTTAATAGATATCAATCAGGAGCAGTGATAATAAGAATATCAATGGAGACGATGATAGTAATCAGTAATAATATTAATGTCAACAATATTGATAGGTTATTATTATTAGTGTTTCAAATTGCAAATATGTTACAATATAATAGCAGCAATGCGTAAAAACAATACGTGATCAGATACTCTGATTAGCATAATTGTAGGGATTGATTAATGCTGTTGATGTTAGTCCTATAGTTTATAAATTATGCAAATAATCAGTAAAAAATTGAATTGCAAATGCAACAACAATATCTGTCAATGGATTGGATATATGATACTAAATGTTAATATTAATGTAAAACATTGGAGATATGAGCATATGTATGTTGTGTGCTCTAGTTGTTTGATAATAAACTGAAGTAATAACACTGATCATAATACGCATGTTTATAATCAAGTCCAAAATTTTTTATATCTAGTTATATTATGGACTGATCACATTGGACAGGCAACAACTGAATCTTTTTATATGATGTTTAATAATAACGATATGTAAGAAGCTTATCTTTTTTAATGCTCCTACAGATATATACAGATATTGTTAGACTAAGATGTTATAGTGAGAAAATTAGTAGGTAGTGTTATTGGTAGATAGTAGATAGATGCAGTAATGGTGATGATAGTGATATGATATTATAGGATGAGGGTGATAAAGAACAACAAACGCTGTAGAATATATTGTTACATATGATGTTGAAACAATACTTCGGGATATGACGATTACCATTAGGATTTGGGATATCATCCGGATAGTGCGGTGATAGTAGTCTACCTTTCTAAATGATCATCTGGTTGCAATATGCCCTATTCATCGTTTATCGTCCATATTCTCGCAATCACTGATCTGCTTTTATTGACCAGAAATTATCCATCTCTCATTCAACCATCCACCTATTTATGATCCACCCAGCTGTAATCTACTCACTTCCTTTTATCCAGAATATGATGTGACAAAAAGATATGTATATATGATGTGTTATCATAGTCATTAACATAACCCATAATACACATCTATTATTACAACATTACTTCTCACTCAAATTTTCGAATTCATTCAAAAATACCTATTAATTCTACCTCTAAACTGATTAGAAAAATGCTGAATAAAGAAAGCTGAGGCCAAGTCCACCTATAAAGACAGATGATAACCGTGAGTTTTAGCATTTTGTATAGTGTACTTAATTGCAGTTTAGATATACTGGATTTAGTGATGCGAATCAATGATGAGACTAATATTCAGTGATGGGCAACAACGCGCTTTTCGCTATTCCGCTAATAGTGGAATTGCTTTTTTTCGTTAGCAAGATCGCTCGCTACTTTTTTCATATATCTTGAAGAGATAACTTTCGATAATAATTTTTTAGTGGCATTAAGTAGTGATAACTTGCGCTGTTTTCTTTTATTAGCATTTTAGCGAGCCACTTTTTTTTCAAACTTTTGCTGACCCACTACTTTTGGTTTGCAGAGGCTGTTCATTTTTCCCAACATCAAGATGTTTAACCCTTGTGTGATGCTCAAATTTTCGTGACTCAGTCGATGTTCATGGATCAGAATGACCCATAACTCCATTCCTTCATTATCAAAATGCGCATCTTAAGTAAAAGATTTCGACATTGTGTTGCGTGATAGTAAAGGTGATATTTACATCAACTATGAGAAGTAGATGTGGTGATTAACGACTTCCTGAATAGGCAAGGAATTTAATTATCTGATTATTGACACTGAACAACTTTGACTATTGGCTACAGCAGTCATCCTAATTGCCGTAATTTACTGTTAACTTTACCATAATTGCTTTCGTTAGAAAGCAATCATAAAATAGTATATAATTTTCTATATCCTTAGCATGAGTTACTGCTTCATCAGAACTGGTTTCATCTTTATCATATTAGGGGCTCGACGACTTCAACTGGACGTCATTCGGTTTTATTATTATCATAATTTTTTGATAAGCGGATTCCATTCAAATAAAATTTGACATTTCCAATGAACTCCGAAAATTTTTTGCCAAATTTATAACGGTTTTTCACAGACAAATAAGCAGCAAGATTGCAAATTTTGAAAAAAGATTCGAAAGTAGCGATTGGTGGACTAATTTTGCTCTTTAGCGTTTAAGTGATTTTTTTCAGTTTTGGGCACTTTTAGCGAAAAGTTTTCGCTATTTTTTCATCAGATGCGATATTAGCAGCTCATTTTCAACTGACCAAAAAATTTTTCTGGCAAATTAGCGATTAGCGCAGCTACTATTTACAATAGCGTGCCATCACTGCTAATATTATTTACAGCTACAGCAGTGTCCCTTGGTACTTACCTGATTTGTTTGTTAGCTATTCATTATGTGATATTTCATTAAATGAGACCCTGGCCAAGCAGCACAGATAGATTCATCTCTTCACAGTTTAGCATTGTTTATTTTGATTAGCAAAGTTCACCGATAAACAATAATAATGCAGATGAATAGTAACTATTACACTCGAAGAAGTGACCATTATAATCCAACCTCCATAACCATTGATCAGGCTAGCGAGCCAAACTAAAGCACTGATCTAGTCGCAGATAGTACACATCTGTCTCATCTTGACCGATTGCAGCAGTGCAGTCAATTGTCTTTCACAAATAATCCACTATTCCTTCTAGCTATTAGCAATGCAAAATATTACAATTACTACTGTTTTTGATTAATTCTTGCTATTATTATTGATCGTTGTTCTTCTAATTATTATCATTGCATTCGAAAGTCACTATTGAATTATGTGAATGAATGAAGAACTTAAAGTTAGTGGGAATTATACTTTCACAGTAGATATTGTTAATATTTTTGTTGATTTTAGGAAATGATTGTCATCAAAAGAAGCAAAGACGATTATTATTTGTCGCAGTGTGGTGTTATCATCCACCTGTTGACTATCTGAGAAACTTAACTGATCCAACCGGTGCGCATTCTTTGGTATCGCACAAGCACTTGTTAGGCTGTTAGCTCCAGTCTCAGCCGGCCGCTCTGTTTTGACTACATCTGTTTTCTGCTGGACTCTACCCCCTATTGTATTGTTGTTGTTGTTGTTGTTGCTGCTGCTTCAGATGGCTGCTGCGAGTCGTGAAGCTAGCACTGAAACGACTGTCTCTGTTGATCGTCACTATCTCGCTCATTCTTACCCGGATTCACGTTTGTCCTCCAGCTGTACCATGACCTCACATTCATCCAGTAACGTATTTCTTCATCTCAATCATCCTCATATAAGTGCTGCCCACGAACAACTCATCACATCATCATCATCTGCATCCTCCCTTTATACAACAGCTAAACGTCTTCGCCAGCGTCTTCAGCGTCAACATTCCGGTCAGTTGCCCATTTCATTTCTTCACCTCTACTTCTTTGTGAAATTTATCAGTTCACTTGAACTGCTTTCTTTGAACTAGACTCCCCCTGGTCTACATTTATGTGAAATGCTACCACTTTCTCTTTACCACAAAAAATTAGTTATGCATGTCTGATAATGTAAAGTCAGCAGCACTAGCGCATGTTTATAATACATTATATAAACTTACTTAATATGTATGCATGTAATGAGTTCTTGCATTGTGTGTTGTTCGCTATATTTCGATTGATATTGATATTGATCACAGTGATAACAATAATGGTTTGCATTCATTCAGTCGAATTACATTTCTAGTCACTTCCCTCACATTTATACCTACAAGTACTCACCTACTTATTTAACAACTCACTTGACTCGCCATAATTATTTATTATTTGCGAACCTTGCAGGCACGTTTAGATGTGAGAGTGAATGAATTGCAAGAATTGAATAATGCTTAACATAGGTACGAGACTGATAGACATAGGTAGCTGACACGTTGAAACTGCTTAAACGGGTTTTAATGGTTGGCAGGTATAAAGTAGTGGAGATTAATAGAGATACGAGATTGATAGGCCTGCGGGTTGATGATTTTTTGATAATTCAGGTATTATTAACGTTGCTCTAATAATCAGGAGGTATTCAATTGAATGAATAGAATGATTGAAATTCGTTCAACTGGTTTGAATTCAATTGCAAATTCAGGTCGACGTTATACTAGCGGCGATGGTGATAGCAGCGTATGTTCATTATCAGTTCCGACATCCGTCGATAGAAATGCAGTTGCAATAACAATTGCACCTCCTTGCCCGTCGTTCAATACGGCTCGATGTGTAGTTCGAGAAGATCCGAAGTTCGAGAGGACGACGACCACCACCACCACTGTGCCCGTCACCAACTCATCATCATCGACATCATCAGCGAAGACGATAACCACATCAGCAACTTTATTGTCGGCGCAGAATATTGCAGACATGATACTTGAGGTTTGTTCATTCTTTCATCTCAATTCTAATTCCTTGTCATCTTGATTTCATCTCTCTAATACTAGATTCTGATACTAGATTAATCATTAGTATTCATTAGCATCACTATTATAGTTCTATCTTTGTTGTTAATATTGTGCCTTTGATAAATGCATACGCGCCTGTACATAGGTTTCTCAATATGTTTGTGCCTCATTTCGCGTTTCGAATGACTTTAGCGAACTTTCTTTTCTCGTTCATTTCTATTTCCTCTGAGAGGTAGGTAGATATTATATTATGAAGATGAGACGATCAAAAATCATTACACATAAATTTACATTTATAGTTCAATTCTGATCTAAATGCTTCTCAGTTATTGAAGTTTTTACTGAAAGACTGAATTATTTGTGCTCGAATTCCTCGAATTTTTATTCATTCATACATTTGCTTGGGTTCATGTAACCGGTTGATCCATCCTCTTCGTTGCTAACATCATAAAGGTTTTCCTTCCTTGCTTCTGTCTATACATCATTTCGTTGTTTTCATCGTTCAGAAAGATGCTTTTTGAGTCGATTTCTCATTGTTGCAATCGGTTCGTAGTTTCTGCATGTGAAAATGAATGGTTGCTTTATTAGATCGTCCAAAAGCAGGGGATAGCAACGGAATATTCACTCACTTGTTCTGGTATGCTTATAATTAAGTTGCTTATATCATAACATATATATACATATATATACATAATATGTGTCATGTTTGATTTGCTTATGATAGAGGTTCTATGATAATAACAACAAACCATGAATGAATGTTACTTAAGGCAATTCATATGGAGGATGTGCATTTAGTTGAAAGATTGCTAGCATCATGTTTTACATTTACAATCTCGGCATCACCAAGTGCGAGTTCTTTAAATGAATTTACGCAACAACGACTCACTGCAACTACCCATCAACATTCGAATGCCTCATCGACACATTCCGTTGGCAGGTGGGTTCGTTCGCCTCTCGTAGCACTTCCTTGTTTATTCATCACTTGATATTAGCAGTTTTCTTACTATCCCGGTTATTATTAATCTTGATAGCATACCAAGGAAGGAAGAATGTGAAATCAGTGATATTGGTGATAAGAGAGAAGCATAAACTCCTAATGAGTTGCAATTGCTATTTGAATAAATAAATATTATCACTGTAATGATTGTTATTTCTGTCACTCTCTGAATCAATTGCGATCGACCATTCGTTCAGAACAGTTGTCATCATGGTCTAAATTAATTAGCTGACTTTGATGATTGGATGAAATTGTACAGTTTGTTATCTTCACATTAAGCAACGAATGAATACCTTTCGATCTGAAACACGGTTCATACGATCCATCTGTTTACTGTTTTTGTACTTGATTACTTCGGATCAAAATCATCTTTTCAAAATTTTGCGCGAATTATCAATGAGATTATTCGAATATAACAGAATGAAATCCTTTGTGAGCAATTTCATTGGCACTGTAATATTGTTCAAGCGTTTGAAAAAAAATTGATTTTATGCAAGCGGCGTCCATTTTTCGTTTCTATCCTCCCTAGAGTCATCTGTCCATACACCGGTTCATGATGAATGATGTTCTCATCAAGTAGTGATCTTGAAGCTTCCGTAGACATTCCTGATGATATTCCATATGCATTCTTCTTCGTCTTTTCTTAGTGTGTTCAAGTTCAATTTATCTTTCATCTGCTCCCTTTTCATGATCACGAACAATCCATCGGTTTATGACAGACAAGAGCAAATAATCAGCAAAGAACTCTTATCATTGATTGACTTCGATTAATCATTTTGATTTACCTACTCGTATATATGATGCTGTCGTTGTTAGTTTAGACAGAAGGAATTTTATAAGTGAATAGTGACAACAAATAGTATGAAATGAATGAATAATTGCATGAATGTGCTCAAGCGATCCTATTTGATTTTTTTGGCTCCTAGATTTGGGAAGTTCATTCGAATGTGGATGTACGTCACAAGTGCTGAAGACTAAAGTAGATAGCAATAATGTTTTTCTTGAAATCATTTTTGAAAAAGAAAGAAAAAGCCTATATTACTGCTGCATTGTTGAGGAAATCTTTTTAGTCAACTGAACGAAAATTTCTCTATGCATATTTCAATGTATATTATATTAGAGTTTTGTGAAATGAAACAAATAAGAATGAAATTCGAATCACAAGGAAGAGAATTGAATTTTCTATCAACTGGAAGGAAAGGTGAAAGACAGCATGGGTTGGTCAGCCCTATCCATGTTCATATGTATGTGTATCATGAAAATAATTTATTGTGATCTTCAAAAATGCATGCACTTTAAAAAGTCTATATATTTTCCTATCAGCTGTGTGGAAATGTCTTCGTTCAAAGTTGTATATCAAAGAAATAATCCGATATATTGATGCTGGTGTACATTCATTGGTGTTTTCTTCATATTTGCTTTATTCTCTCATGCACCATGCATAATTTATCGTTTTTATGAATAATAACGAGCTATCCTTTGGTGTCATATACGTATGTGCCTTACAATAAGAGTATTTATTTATGAAGCAACTACCATACAACTCATTACGAGTATACGCCTTTCTGTTATCACCGAAAATTATAATGTCACAATTATCAGTACATTCCGTCTTTGGACATTGTCTCTTGAGTCATAATTTTGTAGTGAGTAAAGAAGTATTATGCACAATACAATGTAGCATTAACTATGTATTATATGATACATTCCTATTATTGCATGCTTAAAATTTTCAACAAGTTTTTTTTTGAATCAGTCGAGTAAATATATTTATATCCAAATATTTCGTTTGAAATGCTTGTCAGACTTTAAATGTACTCTCTCAATTTATCCTCGAAAGCGAATTCATTCATCAGAATTTACTTTACTCAACTATATCTTTAGGCTCTATTCAACTACATTCATAAAACTACATATGCTCAAACTCAACGCACTGCTCGCCATATTTTTTGAACCATCGGTTCACTTTCCGTCCTCGTTCCCCTCACTTTATTTCATTTTCTTTCGCATCTCGACTCTCAGAGTAATCAGGAGAAGAATGAACGAACGAATTTCAGATCAACTTGCATGACAGTGAATATTTTACACATGGCGATAGCTCATAAGCAACGCGATATTGTTGAATTACTATTGAAGAATGGTTTTAATCCCAATGCGTCAACTTTGTCTCATTGTAAAAGTGATAATGATTATGCTAGTGCATCAACTGGAATACTATCAATAACATCAGTTATGCCGAGGTTTTTGATATCATTTGTTGTTAATTCAATTGTTACGTTCACGATAAACGATTGTTTTGTATAGCGATCAATATTTATTTCTACCAAATAGAATAAATGATCGCTAAGTGAATCAATTATGTATTGTGACGATAAGTTTATAATAACTTTTCAATTGAAATGAAATGACTAAAACATGCATATGGTTGTGCTTGTGCCGTGCGTGGCACGACTTTTCGTCCCCCAAAATCAAGCAAATCGCAATTTGGGCTAACGAACTCAGACTCAGGCTTAAATTTTGGTTCAATATTAGACCTGGGCTGAGATCTGAGATCAGCAGATTTGGTTGCCGTTCAGATTCTGGTTTAGATGGATTATCGACAGTTCAACCACCACCGAATGATCAAACGACACGACAGCAACCTCATATGACATATCCCATATATGCACAACATGATATTTCAGAGTACATTCAATAGCACCCGAACAATGCAATGCATGTGTACAACTACGAATGATTTCAATGGTGGATATAAATGCACTTGGCATTGCCATTAAAACACATTCATCTGAATTGATCTCACTTCTGGTCGCTTATGGTGCTGATGTGAATCTAGCAGATGAGGATGGTAATACTCCATTGATGTTAGCCGTTCAAGAATCACCCATTGGTTGGCATTCCATCAATACACTTATCATGTTTGGAGCACGGTTAGTTTCTTTTGATTGTAATTATCAGGGGAGTTTTGTTGTGGTTATCGGTATTACCAATATAAACGATACTATAGTATTAATGCTTTTGTACATTAAATACTAATGTTGTAGGTGCATGTGAATGAAATGATTTAAAGCATTTTCATTGTATTTCGGATATTTACAACATGTGAAAGAGAATTTAAGAGGTTGATTCATGAAAACCTAAATAATAATAAGAATTTCAAGGATTGAACAGAAAAATCATCGTGGAATATGTGCAATCGATGTAGCACCCAAGCTGCGTCGACTTCAAGAGCGCTGTGTTGAGGATCTATTTAAGATTGCTTGCGGTAATGATGAGCATGCGACGACTAATAGTGGTATGACATCTACTGCAACTGCTACATCAGCTCATCACATTAATGCTTCGAATAGTCCTGAGGTGCCCATGAAACATAACAGGACAATGATGAGTGGCACTATTGCTAATCGTACAATAAGTCAACATTGTTCTATCTTATCCAGTAACAGTAATCAAAGTCATCCTTCAATGATTTCACAATCATCAGCATTATCATCACAGCAACAACACCAGCGGAGCAATGATAGTCATATTGAAGCTTCAAATGCTTGTAACGGTTGTGAGACAATTACTGCTATTACTAAAAGTAGTATAAAACGCTGTAAGTTGCTACTTAGTTCATCGTTTTTTTTATGGAATGCTTCATGGAACAAGCATTTATATGGGCAAGAATGTACTCGAACCAAGTGGCTTCACTTCTGGCCAGTACTTACTCGAATGAAGAATGAGTGAGAATAATTTGAATAGTGAGACGAATAACCAAGGACGATGACGTCAGAAAATTCACTAGCATTAAAAACTATTCAGTCGGACAGAATAATGAATAAACAGATAAAGAAGAATGAATGAATTATTCGAATGAGTATTATTCATTAATTCAAATATTTAGGTAAGTTGGTTGGATGGTGACTTATTGAGTCTATAATCGATGGATTTTTGACTGAATAATCTGTTTTGAACTTGATGAATAAATAAAATATTGGAGCGGGTGAATAATGAGTGAAAGAACATCAGATACTAGTGTTGTGCGGGGAGTCCCCGAATTCGGGGTCCCCGTCCCCGAATCGCCATCCTCGACCTTTTTGGAGACGCGGCCACTTTCGGGGACTGTCCCCATCCCCGAAATGCCCCCGATTCTTCCCGTCCCCGACTTTTTTGGAGCCGCGGCCATTTTCGAGGACTGTCCTCGTTCTCAAAATGTTCCCAATTCTTCCCGTCCTCGACTTCTCCAGAATTGTCGGTCCGAAATTTCGAGGAGACTCCTCGAAATTTCGGGAAGTCTCCACGAAATTCCGGAGAAAAAATTAAATTTTTAAGAGGTACTAAGATGTTCATTAGTACTATCGTTAATACGTTGTTATGAGTCGCGACAAGGACTCCTTGAACATTTCGTTTAAAAGTTAGTGAAATATTTATGGGTGCCTGCAATGTGCCGCTTATGATGACCTACTGCAAGCAGCTCTCAGCATAGGCTCAAAAAAAATTTTTTTTCCCGGGAGAACCCTATCATCTGAAGTTGTGGCGAAAAATTTCGGAAACGATTGGAGAGTAATTAACCGAGGTAGGCAATCTTATGAGCGAGTAAAAAATCAACGTATGACCCTTATTGCATTTTGATAGCTCAGTGATCAACATTATATTTACCATAGATCGAGGCAAAACGTTCGACTTCCAGAAAGTCGATGGAACAAATCTGCACATGACACTAAAGACTATCCGATGCAGTTTTATTGTTAACATCGGTGCTGTTTTATTGTTATTTTTATCATTCTTTTCATTGTTAATATTTGAATAAAATACTGTAGATAGGACTGCATTGTGCCTTCGCAGTTATCACTTTCCTAGCCTAAAGATTACTTATTTCAATGCTTTTCCATGAAAAAATCATGTTTTGAAGATTCTGCTGACTGTAGTTCCGAAAAAAAAAATCTTCGGGGAATTTCGGAAAGTCGGCGACGGGGATAAGATTGAGTTTTCTCCCCAAAACTTCCCAACCCCGACCATTTTCGAGCCACGGCCGTTTTCAGGGACTGTACCCATCCCTGAAATGTGCCCAATTCTCTTCATCGCCGACTTTATTCCATCCCCGCACAACACTGTCAGATACTATCTGTGTTTATTATTCAAGCTGTGCAAATTTATGCGTTCATCTCGATGCTTTTCGAAACAACTGAAGAAGAGAATTCAATTGAAAATTACGACTTGCAGATCAATCTGCAAATGACTTTTAAGGATTTAAAAACTGCAAATCAAAAGATTTCAACTTATCGCGTTCATTTGTTTGTTATAATCGTCAGTGAATATTTGATCATTGTATCTCAGACGTCAACTTATGTTTCATTCTTAAAACTAAAGCAACCTCCTTCTATAGAAACTTCAGTGCCTTATATGACTCGATCTAATGTGATTATATCAAAAGTTCTACTAGCACTATTCTCTCTTCAGCTGAAAAGACGACACATCAATCATTCAAAAAACTCGCGTCGACTACTGCTGGAATGCCATCAACTAGTACCACTAATTCACCGATACTGGTTGACAGCACTTGCGGCAGTCAGCATCAGTTACTGTCGTCAGCATCCTTAAGAGAGACTTCACGTCGTAAATCACTTGTTTCAATTCAACTACATCGTCGTTGCAAATCGTCTCGTCGTTGCAGTAACTTTCAGTCATTTTTTCGTGTCATAATACATTGTTTATCCACTGAAATATTTCGTAAGATAAGCGAATATCCACTATGTGTAGTTGGATATTGTTCTGTCGGAGTGTAGAAGAAAAGTTGAATAGATAGATTAAAATTATTGATAGAGTAACAAGGATAATAAGAAAAATAGTGGCAGCCAGTAGTGATACAGGAACAAACGGGAGCACTGCTAGTAAAATTTGTAAAATGTTGTTTGCATGGAATTACAGATCACGCAATATTTGCAACTGGATTTCAGATATACCGATTGAGACAGTGACATGGGATCAAGCGTGGGAATTGCTTAAAAAGATGGCCACCAACCCAGAATGTCTTCAGGCAATACAGGTAGGTTGGTTGATTGATAGTGATCTGCTACCTTAGTTATTTGTTTATGTCAATGTTTCTCACGCTTGAAAGCTTCATTATCCCTTTCGATGGTCTCGCAGGGCGTCGTTGCCCCCCCCCCCCCCCCCCCCCCCCCCCCCCTCCCCACCACCTGCAAGAATTTACTATTTCTACACATGTAGTCAGGAGTAAGTCAGAAGCCAATCCAGAAAGTTCTCGGTGGGGTGAATGAAGTTAATTTTCTGGAGTGAAACAAGCATTTTTTGAACTTTATTTAGAATATGAACCTCAGCAATTTCATAAACGATTAAAGAAGTAGAAACTGAAAGAAGAAATTGACATCCTTTTCTGTAATATTTGAGGATGTCAACTGACATCAATAAAATCCTTCAGTATTACAGGAAACACAAAGTCAATTATCTAAACCCAATGAAAAATTATTCTTGATAAATTTAGTACATTTAATTGGAGTAATAATTATCGAACAATTTGAAACTCATGAGTCGTACGAGCAGAAGTAAACGCGAACTTATTTCCACAATTTAACCATTTGGTCATATTAACGATTAAAAGATTCATTAATCTAACAGAATGAATGTGAACATACCACAACTTTGGATAAGAAAGTGAACTTAATTTTGCGCTTGAAATATGTTCTGATTCAGGACCATGAATCAGGACATATTTCAATGGCCATCGCTTTCAACCACCAGTCTAGGTCGACGTTTTGTTTCCAGAAGTAGCAGTACCGAAAGAAGTTTTTAAATACTCATGACTACTTTAAACTGACTTTTGTTCAGGTCTGGGCGAGCTAAAGATACTCAGAAAATATTATAGTAAAAATACAGGAATGTTGCGATGAGCGAATCGCATTCGGATATCCAAGCGAAAAAAAAACACCATCACAATGACGCTCCATCATAACATAGCAGCTGAACGGAATATTAGTTTGCCGATCCCCTCAACTACTCCTTGACACCCCAAACTATCCTTCAGGGGGATAATTCACCCACTTATGAGAAACACTGGTTTATGCAATCCATATTGAGTGGATTGACCGCAGGAAGAAAGAGATGCATTTTTAGTGGGGACGTTTTTGAAGTTGACATCAGATTTGAAGTTTGCCTCATTGTTAACATTATGCTCTGGTTTGGTTCATTTTCTAGAGCGCTCTGCTGAATTTTGTCAACCAAGAGGAATCTATGAGTAATGGTATGGCTGAAGCGACCGTTGATAAAGACGCATTCGACTCACATATGAGCGGTCTTTTACATCATATTCTACGAGTGAGGGTTTTTTTGTGCTTAATTGCAACAATATCAAACTGTCATCATTAAATAAGTGTCAAATTTCCTGACAGGTTCTTGAAATGGAATCATTTTTGATAGAATTTTATGATGTCATTGTTTATCGTTTTATTCGAGTTCACATAACCTTAGAGCTTTCATTATGATGAAAATTTGAGACTTCACTCTCGACATATCATTCCTCAACATCCACACATCAGCGTGATAATAGACGTCAACTTGTTGAAATACTCTGCACTTTGACAACGTTTTGTTTTTTGTTTTTGCAAAAGAATAGCACAAGTCATCAATTCGCTACGCTTACTACTCTCAACAAGGTATTATTCTTCCACTGTTATTAGTTTTATTACCATTATTATTTTTAATATCATTACTATTGTTATCATTACTGCTGTTATCACTTGTTAGTGTTATTATTATATTTGCATATGATAATGAATGTTATCATCAGAATATTGAAGTAATCGACTGAAAGGATGGAATGATTTTTTGTTTCAGATCATTGACACGGGTTTAGTTTATGAGCTATTTACAGTGCCTGAAATACTCTTTCATTCATCTTACCTGTTGAATCGTTGTTCTGATGTGCATAAACTGAATGATGACTTTGAATCGAATTCAACTTGTTGCTTCTTGCCTAACGATGAACACAGCAACATCGATCATATGTTTAACGATAACAGCAGTGCTAATCGTAGCAATACACCAACAATCACAACAAAATCAAACGATCTCTTTGCAACTTGTGCTCCTTCTAATGAAATAAGCCTTATTGACGCTTTTTCGAACGCCGATCCAATAATGAGTGTGTTTTTCGTTTGTTTCTTCTGCTTTTGAAAAAAATTGAAATGTCCATACCGATAATAATTTTAATGATTGTGGATTTCGATATTTCCATATTAATACCACTAAAACACGTAATTTTGCACTGTTTCTCATTTTACGCTTTCAGTAATAGCAAGTCTTCATAATGCGATAACAATGCAGAATCGTAATCTGAATGCTAATAATAACGGAGTAGGAAAGACAACGCGTTCGATTTGTAGTCCAGCACATCGTTTGAGACAATGTTCACATCACTGTACGCAGATTCTGCTCGCAAGGCTACTCCTATTTCTATGCCATCTAAAAACATTCCGAGCACGCCTTGCACAGCGAACTCAACTCAAATCGCTCGTCCAGCTGCTGGAGCCCACGCTCGATCCTGTATGTTTTCAAATGACTACTCGTCTTTCTAGTATACGCTTGCCTTTAAAACAAGCAGTGCTTGCTCAAATCATTCGTCTAAAAACAAAAAACTGAGTCTCTTTCAACTCTGAACTTACTGAAGCAAACAACCTTGAGCCTAGCCATCTCTACTTACCAGTTTTGCAATTAGATCTCTGTGATTAAGCAACATAGGATGATGAGAAGAAGACGTAAATGATTGAATGCCATACTAAGATTCAAGTGAACGATTCGAATTCGGAAACGATTTCTTTTTTCATTTCATTTTGCACTCGTTGACACTGACATCCCCACTGTATCATTATCATCATTATCTACTCTGATTAAAAGTTTTAACGAAGTTGAAATTTCAGCAGTTGTTATGTCTTTTATTGCAATCGATTGCTTTGATAGCCCTGGATTCAAAAACGCATCGTTTGTTTGTGGACATGCAAATTGATGATGTCTTAATTCAAATGCTTTTACCAGCTGATGATTGGTTTGTTATTACTACTGTTTTTGGAAAACTATCGTTATTAATCAAATATTAATTATTAAGCTCAATGAAAAATAGCGAATTCACGACGTATGTAAGTACATGAATTTAAATTTATGAGAATTGAATTCGAATGAATAGAAACAACCCCGACCACAGGTATTATACAAATCATAGTACGAAATTTGGCCAATTCGTCAAATATCATGCGGCTAGAATATTGGTTTATGTTGGTCTAGGTGATCGTGTGGGCACTCGAGTGAGTCTTTTCAATTTTGCAGGTAATTTTGATTTGATAATTCAATGATTTATTCATTACCTTCCTTTAAATATTCGTTGGTACACGTACGTGCTTCTTTCGTTTCTCTACTGTAGTGAGATGAAATGGATGCGAAACGGTTGAGCGATATCAGTTGGGCCCCGAAACCTTTATGGCGCGACAATATTTATTTTTGTTTGCAGGAATTTATACGATTTTGCAATTTTTTCTTGTGGAAAACGCTAATTATCTCTAGTTGTTGACATTAAGAGAATGGAAATGAGATGCTAAAGAGTGAGCAAGAACAACGAGCCGGATTGTGCACTGGAACAGCGACAATGAACGAAGATGATTATATTTGCGAAACATGCGCAACACCAACAACAGCGCAAGCATTCAGCCGTGTTGCTTTCTCTGCTGAAGGCATTCTCCTGAAAGTTCTTTCTGAGGTACTGCAAATTCTAACTTTTGCAATTTATGATCGTATCTCAGTGAACGACAACATTAATTGCTGTTAATTTTACGAATTTCATTAAAAATATTTTCTCCCTATCGTCCTATCCATATCATAATCCAACTTTGATTTGCAGTTGGTGAAAAATGCGCAACATTCGGGTACCACCGAGCCAATAGCTGAAGAATCTCCAAGCAGAACACCTTCACCGCCAGCGGCTGTTGAAGAACCAACAACATCAACAAAGGCAGTAGCTGAGGAGAAAATGAACCAAGAAGCGGCAGTGCGATCATCAAGACAACAACAACAGCAGGGAGAGCAACTTCCACAAACGCAACAAACGTCAACTGCGTCAAGCACTTCTTCATCAGAGACATTAGAAGGGCAACTGTGTAAATTAGGTTTGGTGCTGGACTCGGTGTTGTTGCTGCGACTGCTATTGCATAAACTTTCATGGGATCTCAGTTTGGTGGTCAAAAAACGTACAGCAGTAGAAGCAACAGCAAACACGAATATGAATGGCAGTAGTACCAATCGAACCAAAACACTAGAAAATATGCACAAACAAGCAAACAACAACAACAATGATAATGACAGTGATAATAGTAGTATGCGCTCTTCAGCAACAATCAACTGTCACAATCTTACGAAGCTGTCCCAGTTAGTTATTCCTCTCATCATCATCATTACCATTGCTGTATTTGGCAGTATATTATAAGATACTATCATTGTTCTATCACATAAGATAGAACAATGATCTTGTAATAAGATAGAACAATTATAAGATCACAGTCATTGTTCTATTATATACTAACAACCAACCGTATTCGTTACAGGCGTACTGCGTTCATCAAATCGAAATCATTTGATCGTCGTCATGACAACACAACGACCAGTCAAAATCGTAAGGAATGCAATAACTTTTTACGCGTTGACCAAGGCTCACGTGCGTCATCGAAACGTGTTCGCATTCGACGTTCAAGTTCTGTCGAACTACCGTTAAGAACAAAGACTGGTGGGACTGGAGCTGGGATTTTAGTCAGAGCTAATGGCACAGACGACATTGCTGGATCTACTAGCGAAACTGATGTTGCTGATTGTAATAACGCTCTTGCAAAAGATTCACATACCAAAGAGAGACGAAAAAGGTTCCAGCATGCACTTTAATAATATCATCAAAACTTTTTCAAGATGATGAAAACCTTTCAAAGTTGAACTGATAATTCTTCCGATAAAATTAATCAACTCCACTTTTTGCTCACACACTTATAAATTTCTCCAAATCCACAGCCAAGTCTATATGTGATCGTAATAAATGTGTGTTCATTTTCACTCGCATTCATATCCACCGAAGATTTTTTTCAGGCTCGGAACGGATTCATCAAATAGTTCGACTCGTTCCAAAAAAACCATTTCATCTGCAACAAGCATGCAGAAGCATCTTCCCAAATATATTCAGTCGTTTTTTCGTCCGCGTATGAGTACAGAACCTTTTAAACGACATATTCGAAGTACGTTTCAAGCAGTCAATCTTGGGCGACTTCTTTGTTCGCATTTTTTTTAGCGATTGCTCCAATTTTGGATAATGAAACCTTCATCAAGAAACAAAAACATGAATATCGCCTACAAAATACATGCAATACGCAAACAACACTTAATAAGTGGTACAAACGCTATACAAAATGATGCAAATCATGCGAGTATTTTATACCAATTTCTTATTCAAAAGAACCTATAAATTCCACGTTCAACTTGGTATCAAATACAAAAGCAATGAAATGAAACATCATATTATTCGTTTATCACTGATATCATCTCATGAGACGGCCTCGTCTGATCGGCTAAGTTTTCTTAAATCTCTAACACAGTGGTTCTCATGGTGGAGGGGGGGGGGGGGNCACCAAAATCAAATTTGGGGTTCTCGTGGGAGGTAACGGAGGGGGTCGGGAAATTACTTTTTCGTGCAGTTGTTATGTTGTGATGGGACGCCATTGTGATGGTATTTTTTCACTTGGGTATGTAAATACGATTAGTTCATGACAACACTCTTCTTTCTCCTATTTCCTGAGTATCATTAGCTCATCCGGGCCTAAACAATAGTCTGTTCAGTCACAAATGTTCCGTAATTTCTTGAATATATCGGCTGACATCGTCTCTCATCAACATTGGGGATTGATTGAGAGAAACTAATATTTGGTGTTGTTTTGCTGTGATGAAACGCCATTCTCATGGCGTATTTTTCACGCGGATATCTTAACGCGGCTCGCTCATGGAAATACTAATCTTCATCCTGTTTTCTGAGTGTTTTTGTTCGTTTCGTTTAGGCCTGAACAAAAGTCAGTTCGAAAATGTCACAAATATCTCGTGAGTACTTTAATATTATATACTGCCTGACATCTTCTCTAATGAGCAATAAGAACTGATTGAGCTCTTTGGTACGACAGAAAATATCATTGGTTTGGTGTTGGACGATCGCGTATTTCTGAATTTGACGATATCGATTTTTTTTTCAATTTCTACAATTTCTAATTCTTGTATCGCTTATGGATGTTTTTTCAGTCCATATACTACTTCTTGCGTGATGAACGACGACATTTCATATGATGTTAATGACTGAAATGCTTGAAAAGTAGAATGGGAATTTCAGACTTAATGCACCTGTCGCACCTCGATAGTTTGAATTTATTTTCATTCCTGCGATGAATTTATACATATTCATTAACCAGCACTTTGATGAAATGATTGCTTTTCCGTTCATCTCGATGATAATTGCTCAAATGTTTATTGCATCTTCCTCCTTCATGAATAACTGAACTTGTTATTAGATTTCATTCTTATCGCTGAAGAACGTTTTTTTCATTGTTTTTCGCTTTTGACTGTCGAGTACTTGTTTTATTCCAGAAAACTAATTTCTTTCACGAGGAATTTCCGGACCAGTTTTCCCTTTGTTTCCGACGTTATACGTCAGGAACGGAAGGAAAACCGGTTCGGAACAGTTATACGTAGAAATTGTCAGTTTATGTATCAGGAAGGGTGGGGGGGGGGGGGGGGGGGGGGGGGGGGGGGNGGGGAGGGAATTAAGGACGGCGTGTCAGATCATCAAAATGGGTAATGGAGGACTCACGCGTGAGAACCATTGGTCTAACGTCTTATATATGCTCATCTCAGCGATGCATAGGAAATGTTTCATCATAGGAAATGTTGCACCTACGTAAACGCATAAAAAATAGCAATATGGCACAATTGAGAGAGGAGATGAGGTAAAATGCAACAAAAAAGAGATGCGGTGTAATCAGTGGACGCAAATACTGATGTTCAAATGAGAGATCTTCGAGATGAAAAAAAATTGCTCACTTCAAGCACACTGGCAGCTAAACTAGAAGAATGCCCAGTTAACTACTTCAGTGATTCACATTACGTATTACAAGGAGGACGGAATATAATATTGCGATGAATGCAGAATAATGAAAAGAATCATATGAATGCATGGATGAATACCTACAAAGAAATTATTTTCGGCGATAATAACTAAACAATCTTGCTTATCTATTGCTGTAAGGAAATTTTTTTGCATCATTCTTTGATTAGTCTTGAAAAAATGCTGCTTACATTTAGCAAGCTGCAGAATATTGTTGGGAGACGAAATAAGGCGGGAAAAGGAATTTTGGACGTGAACAACTCTTACATAAAACCACTACTACAAAAAATTTATGAATGAATGGAAATACAAAGCGAATGCGACTAACATCACCTAACTGTCATTACACCACTGATATTTGATATGGTGATTGTTCTCTTCAATCCTTTCTTCACTACTGTATTATCATCAAGTTCATTATCAATATTTATCTGATGCGCCCGTACGCCCGCACCATCACGTACTATCAATTATTATTATCGACGATCATTCCATTTTTCTATATCATGAAAAATATACATTCTAGGCGAGATCACAGCATCCCTTATAAATGGACAATCAATTAACTAAACAAACAATCAATCAATAGGAACAAACACTCAACGCTAACAAATACACTAGTACAGGCGGGATGCTGTTGAGCGCTGCCCCGAGAACATCGTTGTTACATTAACAAAATGAACGATCGATCGCATTTCTTGAAGAATAAGTTGAGAGCAAAAATAAAAACAAGCCAACTAAACTAAATGCAAGCATCACAAAAAAACCGAAAACGAAAGCGATAAGCTGATGACGAAAGAAGGTGAAACGTATATGTGTTGCGAAATAAAGAAAAGTGGAGGCAAAATAGAAACAGAATCAAACGTCAATTTGAAACACGCCATAACAACAATAATTTTACTATCAACCGTTATCAACAAACGAAAAAATGAACACCGACCTCAGAGTGTGTAAGGGATCCATGAGGACTATCAACAAAACGATTGTTTGTACGATGTTCAATCGCTGGTGGACTTTCGGCAACAGACGGTGACGCACGTAATCTTGTATTCGACGTTATATTTGTTGTTTTTGAGGTTGCTGATGATGATGAAGACCTATTACTGCTATTCGCAGCTGTATTCTGTAACATCATTATCATTACTGTTATAGTTGTAGCAAAGTGAGCCAATGATGAAATGCCGAAATATTGTTGATCAAAAAAGTGAACTATGTAACCTGTAAACCTTTCGTGGGTGTAGCTGTACACATGGGTGTATTTCAGCCCCCTTGTATACCTAAGCGTAAACGTAAACCTAGATATAAGATTTCACGTAAGCTTAAGAGTGAGCCTAACCTTAAACGCAATTCGGTCATGTGTACTGTTATACCCCTCCGAGGTTTACAGAAAGATAAGTAGATGAGTACTGTTATGATATTACATTCGTATGAGAAGTATGAGGATGACGATGATGTTGTGATGCTAAAAGAGAAGGGATTGCAGGTGCTCCACCTGATGGAGCTGAAATTAAACGCCGTCGACGTGAGGTGACCAGTATCGATGATCCGTTGATGCTACGATTTGCTGCGGCACGATTACTATTATCAATACTCATTAGCATACCCCCTGCAGACGCCGTAGGATCAGCAATGACAGACGTTGATGACGCAGCTGACAGCTCATAAATACGATGACTTTCTATGGTCATTATTCTCGCAGTTGATCTGATTTAATCACGCTCTGTCTATTAATATAGTTCACACTCGATTATCTTCTTCCTCCCTTATCACTAATCTTGATTAGCTCTTAGCAGTCAATCTTCCGATTATCTATTGATCCGTTTTTCTTGTTCTTTTATTATTGAGTTCTTGGTGGTTTCTAACTAACTGACTATCGTTGATAATCTGTAGTCTTTATATAAATTTATTATTCACAGCCAATCAATCACCACACGGGAATAAAGCAAATAAAATTGATGAGTTGGTTGTGCTGAGCTGAATGGAATAGAACTGATTTTATATTATTAAGTAATTCAATGGTAGTACAACAGAGTGATTAAACTTGTAGTAATAATAATAATACTGATAACAAATGACTAATTATAGCGAAACTGAGCGATATGGGTTCAATATTGATAACGATATAAGATTATCGATTGTATCGTCGTCTTAGTGGACGAATAATGAATAAACCGATCGACAGAATGAGATATATAGAGATCGATGGATAGATGGTTTGATGGTTATATGGGTTATTATATTTAAAGAGACAGAGCTGTACGGATGGCTGAACTGATGGTGTTCAAGACTGAAATTTTCTGAAAATAATTCATTCATTCACTCAGCAAAAACTGATCGATTGATTGCTTCATTCCCGTTCAATTATTAATTCAGTTGGTCACTGAATCAATCGAATCGCCGTTTGCCACTCTCGAAGTACTAGGACAATATAATGTCACATAGCATATCAAACAGTAATAATCAAAAGCAATAATGACATCAAAACAATGGTCAACAGCGTTATGAAGAATAATGTTATCTGCTTCACGACATATTTGCATTTCAATGACAAACACACAAACATACACATACACACGTGCGCAGACGAACAAATACATCTACGTAAACGACTAAATATATGAAATACAGATTGATTTCTTTTGGGAAAGCAGCAGTAGCAACAACGATGAGTACACATATAGCTACCTTCTAGAACATCCAAGCAAACATCTAAAGCTATATCTATATATGAATCTATCCATGCATCATCCATTCATCATCAATAATAATAACAACTAACCAACCACCCACCTAACATCCATGCATTCACTTCACTACTGCATGCAACAACCACCAACCAAATACTTAACAATCAGCCAACCAACAACCAATGCTGCCTATTGTCATTTCTAGCTGAACGCTACACCACCTATTACAATTACAATTCGAATCAGCATTTAAAATGCTATTATACAGCAACTATCAAACAATATGCAATTGTTCATTGAGTTACTCCACTGCCTAATCGTAACAAAATAAATGAATTAATTCACTCATACATTGCAAATATACTATTGCTATCAATGATAATGACGCGACTTGCTAGCAGGAAGTGCATCGGTATAAACGCATCATCATATTATATTATTCCAAACAACAAAACGTCTCGAATCAAATCAAATTCATTATTGACCTGCCAAAGATGAATACATGAACTAGTGAATGGATAAATCGGATCGTTAATAAATGCATTTAAACAGCAACGAATGGCAACCACTGAACCAATTTTTTAGACGATGATCAGTCAATTATCTATCTATCCACTTATCTATTCATGCAACTAATTACCTTTCGAATGCTGCCCGATGGAATCGAACGAACAACAATTGATCGCTAATCATCGATCACTACCTCGTCAGTTTCGTTTTCTCACAATGACCAATTTTACTGTCAATCTATCCACTCATTCGGTTAACAAACGATGGACTGAGTGGGGTGACCGACAATTACGTGCGCGAGAAGTGTAAACTCCGACAAAAATGATTGTGGAAGACCCACTGAGCGGACTCTCTAACTCAAGTCATTACAGACAGTTGAACAAGCAAACAAAGAAATAAACAAATGCGAATATCGATTCAAAACGATTAAATATACGCAACCATACATATCTTCACGATCAACGGTCATTAATGAACGCAATATTCGTTAAAGCTGTATTGACAGGGAGAAGATGCTGATACCTAATGAAATTATGTTATGATTATAGCGAAGCGGTAATCACACATGAAATGTTCTCATATTCCTACAGTGAGGTAACTAAATGAGAAAATATATAGAAGATAGGTTGCAGATTCAACATCATACAGTTGGTCCAACTAAATTTCCTTCACCCTCCTCCACCTTCCTCATTCAATATCGATCTCATCTCCGATCTTTTTCTACATTCATGCCCTATATCGCCTTCCAAAATTATCAACAAACTTATCAATCAATCAATTTACATAGTTTATTCATTCATTTACTAGTTCTTTTCTAACAATAAGTGAATTTCACTGTCATGGTGTTTTTGACCAGATGAATTGATAAATGGATAGACGAATGAACAAATGAGCTTGCCCGCATGTGTAAATATAATCTGTTTGCTAACTGCTACTTAACAAAACAGACGCTAAAGTAATAAAAAAACATATTAAAGATAGTAAACTTGTCGTTCATTAACTAACTGCTCGTATTGTGCTACTTATATTGGCGATCAAACAAGCAAAATAATAAACACCATGTACACAAATTTCAAACGACAAACAATCAACGACTCAATGTTGCTTACTAAAACTTTAAACCCTGACGTTTATTCTCTTCTCCACCTTTTCTCTTTCGTCTTATCTTGTTCCATCCCTAGATCGGTTAGTTTATCAATATGCTCGTTTATTGTTGCTTCTATTTGGTCTAACAATAAGCCTAAGCTCAAAAGTATAAAATATTTATCTAAAAAATAACGCTGATAATAAGAATACCAAAATATATATGTATAACAGGAGAAGAACAAGAACAAAGGACTAATTAAGTGACAGCATCATCATCATTTCATTCACCATCACATATTACAAATGGTTCTCATTAAAATCATTCGCATCCCGATTATACCTCCATTCAGCCATCATACATCAAAAATAATAATTTGTATACAAACGCATCAATGCTCAATGATCAACGACCAATATCAATCACTCAGTTCAGATGAGCATTCACTAGGCTATGTTTGTTGATAGGAATGGAGCGACGAGCGACTGAGCGCGTCAAATCATTATTCGTTCAACTAGGCAACAGGCAACGCCAATCGTCAGCTTCATAGCAAAAAAATAAACAAAAATAATAAGCACACAGCGTGGTGCAGTAAACGTTCGCGGTTGTTTTCAACGCTTACTTTGATCGCAATCATTCAACATTTGTTCATTTCCTCAATCAATCGAAGTGTATGCTTTTTTGAAGAAGGAGAGAAGAGTTGGATTATCCCGAGCCCTCCTTCATCGATCTCACAACGGAAGATGGAAGAGATCAACCTTAACAATTCAGTGACCGCTGAATCAATAATCGAGGAATGATAATTTCCTTCGATTATAAGGTTGCCCGTTTTTGTGTCTGTAAAACATTGCAAAAGCACAAAGAAAGAGCGCACTGATACTTGCCGTATTATTGCTGGTGATTCAGAGTAGAAGGACATAAACTTATAATGACTTATTATTGTAAGTATTGAATCAAACAGATGAACAAACTATGCAACGATTAAAGTCAAACAACTAGTTCATTCGTTCGTCTATCTCTATTCCAATTGGTTATTTCCTCACTTACATCATTATCTAGAGCTTGTGTTTAGGTTGCACGCTATTCACAACATCAAATCAAGTTTATTTTTTTCGTATATACATCAGTTCACTTCATAATTTACTGCTTTGTGTGCATTACCAAACGTATATGAGCAACATTCATACATGTTCAGTAAACAGATAAATTATAATA